TATGTCCAACCCTGCCCTTTTGCCCTGCGCTACCCACAAAGCGAAAGCACAGTCGCCAGAAGCCCATGAACGGCACTAGAAGCAACACATGCACAACAATCCATGTCACCCATCGGTTCCTGAGCCTCAGAAGCCGAAATTAACTGCAGCTGCCTGCAAGTCTGTCTCTGCCAAGTATCCACACATGCAAGACGACATGCAAGAGAAGCAGGTTAAGAAAAGTCTGGGGTAGAAAGTGTGGAGATCCTTTTCTTCGGTTTGCCCTCGCATCTTTCGCTCACAGGATAGGTCGAGGATGCAATATAAACAAGATTCTGGTCATGTGGAGGTTTGAGACTTTGATTAAGGGAATGAGGGCGCGGAAGGATCGACGGGAGGTGGCGGTTCGGATGGAGGCCGGCTTGGTGGATATGGGGAGGAGGGGTGGAGGGGTGGTGGAAGCTTTTTCTCGACTGGAGAAGATTCTAGTGTGCATGAACAACGCGTAACGAGTTTGTGTGGGATCACCATGTGTGCGTGACGAACGCCATGAGCATTAATCCAACTCCGTGTCAGGAATGAGGAGCAGAAGAAAAACGCCCTACACATGTCATCAACACACACACACAGACACACACACACATCATTGGAGAGAAATCAGCCTGCCTGTTTTGCCCGCGCTGTACGCGGGAAGTACACTTCCTGTACGCTCACATCGGAGTATCCACTTGCACCGTCTAGATCTATCCGCCCAGCTCCAGGCCAGTTTTCCCGCCGCCCGGAATCTCGGAGCAAGTACCACTGCGACAGAACTCACGGTCCTTGATGTGACATCGCGTTCCACCACCGTCCGGCCGACGGTTGCAAAGAGAGCTTGTCAAGTTGCTTGAACGCTGGGCATGGGCTCCACATACCACAATAGTCCGTTTTGCTAGAGGCTCCGACATCGCCTCAGGTATCGGGTCGACTAGCTGGATGGGTGGTTCAGCTAGTCTTCGCTTGGATATAGAGGTACATACGATTTGACGGTGGTTTACTTGGCGATGCTGCCATGTTTGCTGGCGCCACCATCTCTCTTTCAATCGGTCAACGGTTGGTGTGGGTAATCAGTTAGTCAGGCACATGCAGGACAGCAGATCCACAGTAGGTGAGGTGTAGCCGCCATGCAAGATTGTATTGGAAAGATGTGGGGTATATGTGATCGGCCGCGTCATGTGGTTCTTGTCTCCTTAGTAGTTGCTTTGTACAGGCAAGATTTTCCGTGTCGTGGATGTGGCTGTGAAGCACAGTGGCGACAGGACCAAGACAAAGTGTGTACAAGTGTATGTTGGAACATTTGATATTGCCACAAGGAATGTATGTGGGTAAATTGTAAGATGATACATAGAACGGTAATACCAATACTGCGCTGCCATAGCTCAAGCTGGTTGAAAAGGGGGGTTTTGAAGTAGAAGAGGGTAATCGCCTGCAAGTTGCCGTAAAGTGGTGATGAACTTGTGTGATGAAACAACCACCAAACCAAAAAAATCTCGTACAGTAGGAGAGAGAAGGCGAGACTGGTATCGCCAGAGAAGATTGGAATGCAGCAGTGTCATCCACCCAGTCGAAACATATATCCGTACCCGTTTTTCTTCACAAGACACAAAAATCGCTGTAGGTTCATAATCTTCGCACCGGCCAAATCAAACAAGAATCAAACAAAAACAAAACGACATCGCGCGCTTGCTTAGTACTGGTCGTTATGGTGGTCGTCGCTGTGTTGGCTGGCGTTCTCCATGACTTCTCCCAGCACAGAGCCAACGGCAGAATACGAGTCATTGTGCGCCGAGTCGTTCCGCATATATGAGCTAGGAAACGACGACATGTGGTGCGGTGCACTCATTTGAGGCATTCCGTAGCTCGAAGGGGTGACGAGCGGTGAGCCAGAGAAGGAAGGGAAGTGGGCGGTCTGTGGCGTAGACCCGTTGCGTTGAGGGGCGTAGTGAGTGCTCAGCTCGATGCGACGGGGAACGCCGTTGGAGAAGGACCGCATTCTGTTGCCGCTTGATGTACCGAAGCCTGGTACTGGGGAATCTGGAAGTGTTAGAAGGCAGGACCATGAGCCACGTGGGCGAGGAAAACTTACAAGAGTAGCCGATACCGTACGGCATCATTGAGCTGGAATAGGACCGACTGTCATGGCTATCGGAGCTGTCATGGGAGCCAGTATAGCTCATGCTAGTCCTCAAAGGTGACTGTAGAGACTCTGCACGGCTCCTTGCGATTCGGTCGGCGTGAAGTGAAAGGCGAGGGATGCTATGTTGTGCAGCATACGCGGTTGGGTTGCTGACAGGCATGGAGAAGGGGTTGGACGTTCTAGGGCTAGTGTCGATTGGTGTTGAATGGAAGCCAAAGGGGGATCCCTCGTGAGCTGAGACGGGTGAGATGGTGTCGGTCGCTGATTGAGGTGGTGTGAAGGTGAACCCGCCAAAAGCAGGGCTGATGCCAGTTGGCGACATATGCGAGTCAAGCGGTCCTCGTCTGAAGGTATCTATGCTCAGCGGCCTCATCATGTTGCTCTCAGAGAAGCTTGGGTTGTAAGATCCAGGGGAAGCCAGCGGTGTGCCGAGACCATGGGAGTTTCCGAAAGGAGAGTGAAGTGCTGATGCCATGTCGAAGTCATCTGGTAAAGCGCGAGACCTCATCATACGCTCACGGTCGTCGCTTGTTAATCGCTTCAACTTCGCTCGCCTACACAGTGTTAGTACCTCCTTGCTTCGGCGGTAGAAGGTAGGCTTACCTGTTCTGGAACCAAACCTGGACCTGACGGGGGCTGAGACCGGGGATCTCCCGAGCGAGTCGTTCCCTGTGAGCAGCGTCCGGATGTGCTTGACGAGCAAACTCGCTCATCAGGAACCGAGTTTGGTTGTGGGTAAGTCGGAACCTCTTCATCTTTCGCTTCGCCGCGCGAATCTCTGCGGCTGTCATAGGTTGCCGGTCTTCACCCTTCTCTTCGTCTTCGTCGCAGTCGTCCTTATCGTCGAGGATAAGATCATCGTCCTCCTCTTCGCGCTTCTCTACATTGCCACCGTCGTTGGTGGAAGGTGGCGTCAGCCTTGAGATAGGACTAGTAGGAGCAGAGCCTCCAAAAGTTACATTTGGGATGTCATGCTGTTCGATCTCATCGAGTCCAGATGGTGTGTTGCTACCGCTGTTCAGGTGGCTCTTTCCGTCGAGCAGGTAGGGAAAGCTCTTATGTGTTCGCATTGACGGCCGCTTCAAGTCGAAGTTGTGTCCGGAGACCTCGGCTTGGAGCATAGCCATGTCGTTATCTGAATGTGGTGGAGTGTGTTCCAAAGTTCTGAGTTCTGCTGATTGCCACTCGTTGTCTGCTGAAGTCGTGCTATACGCAGACATGTGTGGCGAACTGGGAGGAGACAAAGGAACGAGGAAGCTTCCGTCGACCATTGGCGCTTTTGAAACTGTTGTAGTGGTGTAGATGTAGGCTGAGCTCTGTGGCTGATACCTCTCCTGTGCCTCGCTGTTAGCGAAGAAGGGGGCACGAACTGAACCGCTGCTTACCTAGTTGCTTTGGTCACTAGGAAGGCCTCAACACTGATGATGTCGGCGACTTCGTTCGAAGTTCGAACGAACCACGAGATTCCGCAAGGAGTAAAGATCTGATGGAGTTTGGGGTGAACTGTCGATCGTCGCCCGGTCCCTGTGCGGGGTTTATGCGGGTGATCAGCGATAAAGAGAGAAGGTAGTCGCAATGCTTTGACGTCGAGTCCAGCGCGCGTTAGAGTCGCAAGACCGTTACGAACTAACAGTTCGAGGTGGTCGTGCTGATGAACCTACGGAGGGCGGGTATGCGAGTAGGCTGAATGCTGATGTCGCACCGAGAGTAGGATTGGGGCGCGGAGTTTTGGTGCAACTTCAAGCTTGAAATAGAAGCTACCAGGGAGGTGATACTGTGAGCCAAATAAAGATAGACGCTGGCAGTGGGCGCTTGATGCTTGACAAGAGCGAGGTGATGAACAGCCGGCTTGCTCTAGAAGAGTGAAAGCGTCGTCTGATAGTCAGCGGTGGGTAGCCCTTTGTAAAGAGGGTCAGGAACCGTCGGAGGCTATATCAGCGATAGCGGCAGGGGAGGGGAATCAGATCATTCAGACAAGAAAGGCTTGACGGTACTCTACTGTCGACGATCCGGATAAAATCGAGGTTAAGACAAGTGCGAAAGACTAGGGTCAGACTACGCATGGACAGCGGTGCCTCTTAGGGAAACATGATATCCTTCGAGGATCTGGAAGCAGCTTGTTACACGACGAGAAGCGTGACTAACGTCGAGGGCTAGCAGACCCCAAAGGCTCAGGGCACAGGGATACGGTAGCTCGGGACGTGGGCCTACTACGAAGGAGAGACGGAGCGGGAACGGGCGAATCGAAAGGCTCTGGATCAGGTGTGCTGCATGCCAGGGTGCCCTCCCCTCGAAAGAGAAGGGGAGCGAGCGGTGCGTGAACATGGTGGGCTGCAGGCTACATGCATAGACCAGGGCCCGTGTAGAAAAATGGCCGACGAGCAAGGACTAATCCGTGGCGTCTCGCAGTCGAACGTCGAGGCAGGCGGCGGCGCCATTATTGGCCAGATGCGATGCGGGAAGTCCAAGGAACCCGCAGCGAGAGAGGACAGGGATGCTACAGGGCTCGGCAACGCTTGCACGGCTTGTTGCGGGGTGTCGCTGTCAATGCTGCTTTTAGTGTGGATTGTGTGCGGACGAGATGGTGGTGTGGTGGTGAAGGTCGGACTTGGTGCCGCCAGGCTCGTGTACTCCATGCTACCATGATGCTACTGTCGTCGAACCATGACTTTCACACGAAATTGTGCTATGGCGGGCCATTCCGCCCTGGACCGGTGGCTTCCAAGTGCGTCTTCTGGCAGCTGTCAAGTCAAATGTTAATGGCCACGGTCCGCAAATTGCGTATGCGTCAGGAACGCGCTGCATCAGCCTTGCGTGTGGTTTGAGCCGCCCATCGCGCCCGCTCAGATGCATGAACAACGAACCTTGGTCACCTTCAGCCGTGACCCATGATGCTTGCCGGAAACCAAGGAACCGCGTCTAGCTACTTGCGTGTTCCTGCTGCACACCTGCTTGATCAAGTGTGGTGAGTAGTCGAGCGCCTAGCAATGACGCCGTCGCCAATAGCAGCGGGGGTCGCCAATGAGCAACAGATCTGGCTGGGCTTGACAACGATCTAACGGCCAAAAGCTCGGCCCGCGCCGGGAAAATGCTGAAAGGCGCTGTTTCTCGAAGCCTGTTCTCGCTGTAGTGCGACTGCGTGCAACACTGGTGGGCTGTCGGTAGTTGGGTGACAGCGGTGAATTATCGTAACGTGTTTGGAAATGCGTGTCCAAGCAAGCGCGCTGAAACTGTCCTGGAGCGCGCGAATGGCATCGAAGACGAGGCTGCAACGACTGTCTTTCGGCCGCACTGCAGGGAAAAATTGGGCGATGCGCAAGCCACCCATGCTACGCCGTTCCGTAGTGATCGACATTGCCCGTGTCCAAAGCAGATGAACCTCTAGCCGATACCGCGCGCTGAGCCCGTGACGAATTATGGACTGACGAATGATGTACACCGTCCGCCTCGCGCGGTCGCATTGCCTGAACTGGCCGGAAGTTGTTGTTTTTGCTGTCCGGCTGTGAAGCACGCGGGTAACCGCCAGCGTTTGGCATGTTTCGCAACGAAGAAAAGCACAGTTTCTCCCAACGCCTACGCAATCTCCAAAACGCAATGCCGAACAGGGCGTCGCGGTCGATTTCCAAAACAACGCCAAGACCGCCCGGATGGCGGATGAGGACGGCCTGTGGAAATGACAGGAGCGAGCGATAGCGAAACCGCGGATATTCTGGCGGGTCATTGGTGGGGGGACGCAACACGTCTGTGGGTTTGATGAGCGCATGGGTGCCTGTCCATTGTCGGCAGAACATGCCTGCCTCTTTTCATCATGCTTCGGTCCATCTCGTGAACATAATGCATTGAATATGATTACGATCCGTTGCCAGCAGTCTGGGCCTGTGGCCTTGCTGTGGTTCGCAACTTGTCATGACATGATGAGGTGGTCCCACCGCGTGCCAGACCACAGCAGAGAACCTTGGAAAGCCTCGGACTGCGCTGAACGGTGGTGTCAGGTAGTACAGGTCCCTTCATTTCGGAAGGATGCAGCATCTCCCACGTAGGTGGATTTTGTGCTGACAACACACTGAATGAGCCTGAAGACGGCCCCACCCCGGCGCACCACGGCACATCTGAGATCACAACATTTCCTGTCAAAGGCCTGGAAGCATGACGATGCTTACCAGGGATGAGAGCCAGAGCTCTCTCGATCGTTATTGTTACATCAGAATGAGACCCGGGAATGGTGGACATGCCCACGCGATGCTATATTGTGAAGACTTTTATTCACCAAGGTGGAACCTTTCATCTCCACAGCCTGCTTGCGCCTCAACCCAGCCTTCTGACGTCCCCTCGTGGCGTTGCAAATTGAGGGGCGCCGTTGGCGACCGGATGTACGGTCGCTCAGACTGTGGATGGCTTCCGATCTATCGATACGCTGAGAGTGGCTCGGGGAGAAGAACCCCATGTTCTCTTCGCTTGCAGAGATAAATTCGATGGGAAAGCGCCACAATGCTCCCCATACTGCACGATAACCCATGGGGAAAAGCTCGTATGTCCCTCAGGGCCATCGATAATTCACACCTAGCTGGTGCAGGCGACAACCTGCCCCTGTCACTGCCACTACGCCGCTGGTTCCGCAGTCACTTGACTGCGTTGGTCGGGCCGCTGCTCCTCGACGCTCTGATGCTCGTCTTGCGGAATTACCCCCTGGTCATCCGAAGTAGTGGGTGCAGCGTCAACACCCGTCGCCTCAATGGAAGAGGTGGCCGGCTGAAGAGCCTCCAGCCCTTTGCAATGCTCAATTCTATCAAAGGAGCTTAGCTGCGTCTTTGAAGCAAGACGAAGGCCTCGCCAGACATAGCTAGACTTCTTGTCCCCCGCTTGCCGCTTCTCCTCCTCTGCGTCAGTCATTTCCAGGTCTAAGTCGGTCATCTTGACCTTTTTTGCATATGACTCTGCATTTGGCACATTGAACCTGACTGAACGTCAGAGGCTGAAATCAATGTTAGTCGGACGAGCGGAGCACATACCTGTCACGTTGTCGTAGCTGAGAGAGTCCGTTCTCTGCATCGTTGTTGTGGAGGAAGTTCAAAGTACTAGGTACCCCCATAGGCTTCGAGGCTTTCTTAGCAACAACAGCTTTCTGTGCCCCAGATTTGGCTTGCTGGAATTCTGCTGGGGGCACTCTATCTCGCGTGAACGGCTGACAGTTCTCCATCTTCCATCGTACCCAGTTTTTGTCGCGGGAAAGCACGGTATCCACCATCCGGTAGTAGAATTTGCCATCTGGGCCTTCCTGCAGGTAATTTGCGATGGCGGTCTTGATGCCCAATGCCCACTCGGTCTGTGCTTTGTGGTCAGCCGAGAAGATGATGATCGTGGATGGCGAAGCGAGCATGGGAGCGTGACTGAGGCAGGAGAATGTGGCAAATGATGGGGACTTACGTCTTCCTCGCGGAGTGTGAAATTGTACTGCATCGCTTTCTGCGCATTTTGGTAGAATGGCTTGCTCTTGGACCCCTCGGTCAGGGTCAACAGGAAGTCGATGAGTATCAGTGCTTGGACCAGGATGTGACGTTGGAAGGCGAGATCACTCAGCTGCAAATTGTCAGTCATAGCGCAGGTCTGATAGTGGCAATCTTGCGTACCTCAAGTTTGAACAGGTCACGGCTTGTGAGATATTTAGGATTAAAGGAGTTGGCGAATGCATCGTAGTCGTCGCCTTCCCGTGATTTTTGTCCCTTCTTTCGCTCTGAATCTCCGGCCTGTATGACTTTTGGCACCTCCCTGAATTTGGCTAGCGTCGCCTCCAAGCTCTTCTGAAATTGCTTGAAATTGTCCTCTTCAAAAAGCCTTGGTGGATTTGAGAAAGAGTGCTGTAAAGACCAGAACACGGGGTAGAGAGACTCGGTATCAAGTGTGGTAGGTTTCGCATCTTTGCTTTTGTCGATATCGCCAGACAGGATGGCTGGCTCCTCTGACTTCGAATCTTCCTTGGTAGCAGGAGCAGGCCCGTCGATATCGATTTGCATAGAGTCCTCTTCCGGTTTTGATTCCTTCAGAAAGTCCTCGAATGTCGTTACGTTTTCGACGTGGAAGTTTCCCCGCAGGTTTACCGAACTCTTGTCGCCCAAGGGAAAGCTCTGGAACATGAATATATAGACACGCCCACAGAAGACTGGATCTTCCGCGCGAGATAGCCGGCGGAGCAGCTCATTGCACAATCTCAAGATAACAAGGTCCTTATTCTTGGAGTTGATCTGAAACAAGGTGAGAAAGGGCAACGAGATTGGTAGGGATGACATACCGCGATGATGGTTTCTCTCCTCGACTCGAGAAAGTTGAATACCACACGACATCCTGAGATTGACTGGCTGTCAAGCAACTCTTCAATGAGCAGGAGGACGAGTTGCGGAGAGCAGAGGTCTAAGAATGTCAGTCGAGATGCAGCCGTACTGGCGAGTAACATACCTCGATCCCCGCAATACTGCAGGATATCCAGTAGATTCCAAACAGTTACAAAGGCCGGCTCCTCAATCCGAGTCGAACCCTAATCATGTGAGCAGACTGGTAGAATTAAGACGACAGCGTAGCAACTGACAAGGTTGGCATAGAAAACACTCTTAGCTGCACTCTCGACAGCAAGCGTCCGTACTTCTTTCCCTCCTTCGATCTCGCCGAGAAGAGGCTCGTTCTCCGGTACAAGCTCGGAAACCTGGAGTGGAGGGTCAATCGCCGTACTTTGCTTGACGTCACGGGCACGTCGCAATAAGTAGTCAAGTCTTGGGGCTACCGCGTCGGCGGGAAGCACGTTAGGCGGCGACATGTTAAGAGGTTTGGCGCGCGTTGGGCTTCGATCACGAGCTCACGACCCGTTGGCGCAAAGGGAATAGCACCACTACGTTGGCGAAGTAGGAGCTCCAGACCACGGATCTATAGTCGCAGTAGACTGGATGAGTCGGCGAGACGATAGTTGTTGTAATATATACTTGGGTAGAAAAGGCGGTGATTGAATACAGAAGCTGCTTTCCAAAGTCGAGTTGGACCCTTGCCTGGACAAAGCTAAAGTTGCGCCACAAGCGGCAAGTGCAAGCAGTGTCTGTGCTTGTGGCTGAACGCGTCGAACGCGTCGCGCTCAACACTTTAGAACCCAGGACACCTTCGATACCTGTCGCAAAGGCTCAAGAGGTTCACAATGGCAGACAGCAGCCTGCAAGTACGCGCTCATGACTCTGACGATGATCTCGACGACATTCTCAAAGATGTCACAAATCCCGAAGAGCCCATTCAATCGACGGAGAACCCAACGCAGCCACAGTACCGAAAGAGCAACAAAAGCGACAATGCCGGCGCCCTAGGCGTCGATGAAGAGATCGTCATCACGAAGAAGCGCATTCCTATTCCGAAGCTCGACGACCAAAGACTGCTGTCCGATCCTGGCATTCCCCGCCTACGCAAGATCTCAAAAGAGCGCCTTCGCTTCAAAGGCAAAGGCCACGAGGTATGGTTGTTCCGCACGAGTAAGCGGTACCAGGCTAACTCAGTCGCAGTATGGAGACATTGCTCGCATGCTGAACATGTATCAATTGTGGCTCGACGACCTTTACCCCCGCGCTAAGTTTGCAGACGCCCTGGCCATCATCGAAAAGGTTGGACATACAAAGCGTATGCACATGATGCGGAAAGACTGGATCGATGAAGGCAAACCACGTCGCAACACGGGACACGACGTCGCCGACGAAGACGACGCAACTCGGGACAAGACTCCACAACAAAGCACCGAGGAGATGGAGGGCGTAGAGCATGTCGGGCAAGACAGCCCGAGCCGACAAGGAGAGCGGGAGGATCCTACTTCCAATTCAGCAGATCATGCGGCAGAAGCAGTAGCAAGCGGCGACCCCGACGACGACGAATTAGATGCGTTGTTGGCTGAAAGCAACCAACCTAGTACCACCGTACCAAAGACACTCCCAACGCGACCCGCGCCTACACAAGACGATCCTTTTGCGGACGAGATGGAAGCGATGGCGGATATGGACGACTTGTGGGATTGAACAGCTACACAACGTAGCATCCTGATTTTGGACATTCATAGCGCGGCGTTGGGGAATCATTCACAAGCAAGGCAATTGCGTTAGGTTACGACATCACGGTGACCTGCCATGTGCGATTGCAAATGGCTACAATATATTCTCTGCGTACCCTGATATGCTCTGTCTGCGGGTCATGTGCTCGTGAGATCTACAAACCAGAGTTATTCGGGTTCGGCTGTCTCGCAATGTCTCGGAGCTATCCAAATTTTGATAAGACCCATGTTCCTCGTAATACATATGCAGGTACAGATTGTTGATCGCACACGATATAAGCACCGAATGCTGTCACCCCGTGTATAGCGGGGGAAGTGGGTCCTCCCGATGCGGCTTGGCGTCTCAAACAAACAACGTCATCCATTTTCTCACTCGGCGCGCCACAATCCCGCACCTGGCCAGGCATAGCAATCTACCAGATTCGTACTCAACCCGCGAATATGGAAGCTTTGTCTGGAGAATTGGAGAAGCTGCGGCTGCACAGCAGTAGCCTCGGCGAAGATGGGATAGACTCCATAGCTGGCGAACAACGGCCACCGAAGCGACAACGCAAAACCAAAGATGTCATCAAAAAGGAACTAGAGCAAGAATTCCTGACACCCTCCAAGTCTTTCGACACGCAGTGGTTGAACCAGCTTCAGCAGCGCTGGGATGCACCCACCAATTACCGCAGCCTGTTCCAGATCGCCCCAACCCAGACCCGAACCATCATCCGCTTCACGCGCGAGGGGCTAGAGGGCCGTGTCACGGGATACAAAGAAGTCACAGTTCCAGCAAACTCGGCAACAGCCAAGAACTCGACGTCTCTTCTCAGGAAGCCTGCCAACAGAGCTGAATTCGTGCGTGGAGCAGCAGGCTTCTTTCCTTTCGCACCTGGCGGTCTTGATGGAGTGGAAGCGGTAGCTGCAATCGAAGATGAGGCAATTCAACAGCAAGAGGATGCGAATGGGAAACGGGTTGGTGGCCTTGACAGAGTCATCAACTTCAGTGCTGAAGGGGGCCTGTTGGAGGTACCGCCTGGGTTTACTCGTGGGCTCGACTTCCAGAAAAAGCCCACCACAGATGCCAAGGCTGCGCAAGAGGTCGAAGACACCTTAGCAGAGGCGGGTGCAGCCCCCAGAGATATGGATGCCGATGACGAAGAGACCACCGAGAAGGCCGGCGCGAACGGCCAAGAACCTGACGAAGACCAGCCTGGAGACGACGAGATTGACGCCTTGCTACCAGTAGAGTTCCCTGCGTTGGCTCCTCACGGCCCGCTTGCCATGAGTTCTGGAAGGAAAGGCGGAAGAGAGTGGGCTCATATGGTTGACATCGATCGCGACATCACCAACTTCAAGGAACTCGTGCCGGATATGGCGCGCGAGTGGCCCTTCGAGCTCGATACTTTCCAGAAAGAAGCGGTCTACCATCTTGAGAATGGCGATTCAGTGTTCGTAGCCGCACATACGTCCGCTGGCAAGACAGTGGTCGCAGAGTACGCGATCGCACTCGCTGCCAAGCACATGACCAAAGCTATTTACACATCTCCTATCAAAGCTTTGAGTAACCAGAAGTTCCGCGATTTCCGCCAAACATTCGACGATGTCGGCATTCTTACTGGAGATGTGCAGATCAGACCCGAAGCTAGCTGTCTCATCATGACCACCGAGATCCTCCGGAGTATGTTGTATCGGGGAGCGGATCTTATCCGAGATGTAGAGTTTGTCATATTTGACGAAGTACACTACGTCAATGATCTGGAGCGTGGCGTTGTCTGGGAGGAGGTCATCATCATGTTGCCAGAGCATGTGACTCTCATCCTACTATCCGCAACTGTCCCCAACACGTATGAGTTCGCGTCATGGGTTGGTCGCACAAAGAAGAAGGACATCTACGTCATCTCCACCCCAAAGCGTCCCATTCCTCTCGAACATTATCTTTGGGCTGGAAAAGACATCCACAAGATCGTTACAGCAGACAAGAAATTCATCGACAACGGCTGGAAAGCTGCAAACGATGTCTTGTCCGGGAAAGACAAGATCAAAGAAGCTCCTGCGAATGCAGCCCAAGCTGGTAGAGGCAGTGGTGGTCGCGGAGGACCGCCCGCCCGGGGAGGCCAGAATCAACGTGGAAGAGGTCAACAAGGTGGCGGGCGTGGTGCGCCTCGAGGCGGAGGACCACCGGCTGCAAGGGGTCGTGGCAACATCGCCAGAACCGGTCGTGGTGGAGGTCGAACAACAGCCGCGCAAGATCGGAATATCTGGGTCCACCTCATACAGCATCTTCGAAACAAAGACCTGTTGCCGGCTTGTATATTCGTCTTTTCCAAGAAGCGCTGCGAGGAGAATGCCGAGGCGCTTTCAAACATCGACTATTGCAACGCTGCTGAGAAGAGCGCGATACACATGACCATCGAGAAGTCGCTGGCTAGACTGAGCAAGGAAGACCGTGACCTTCCTCAGATCAAGCGCCTAAGAGAGTTGCTCAGCCGAGGCATTGCTGTCCATCACGGTGGAATGTTACCCATCGTCAAAGAGGTTGTAGAGATTCTGTTTGCAAAGACACTTGTCAAGGTTCTCTTTGCCACGGAGACTTTCGCGATGGGTCTCAATTTACCCACTAGAACCGTAGTGTTCTCTGGTTTCCGCAAACACGACGGACGAGAGTTCCGCGACTTGCTCCCTGGCGAATACACTCAGATGGCTGGTCGCGCAGGACGAAGAGGACTCGACACAGTCGGCACTGTAATCATATGTGCGCCCGGAGCCGACGAGGCACCACCGGCAGCCAGACTCCGTCAGATGATGTTGGGTGAGCCTACTAAGCTCAGATCACAGTTTCGTCTGACGTATAACATGATGCTCAACCTTTTGCGTGTAGAGGCTTTGAAGATCGAAGAGATGATCAAGCGAAGTTTCAGCGAGAATGCCACCCAAGCGCTGCTACCTGAACATCAAGGCAAGGTCAAAGTCTCGGAGGCTGAGCTGGAGAAGATCAAGCGCGAGCCTTGTGATACCTGCGACATCGACCTAGAGGCCTGCCATCAGTCTTGTGAAGACTACAAGAGACTCACTAACGAGATGCACCTGAGTCTACTCATTAACCCTATTGGACGACGGGCTTTGGCGAAGAATAGATTGATTGTCTATAAGAGGGTGCGTCGCTAATTACCGCTCCTAGAGTGACTTATTGCTAACTTGACCAGGACAATAAACGCACCGCGGGTATGCTAATGCAAGATGGTACTAGCAAAGGCAACGAGCCCACGGTCAAAGTCTTAGAGGTGGCGCAGCACCAAGATCGCAAGCCTGACGACCTCTTGCCATATGTCGGTCCTTTTGCAAAGTGGTTCCGCAAGTTACCGAACAACCCCAAGGATCTGATCCTAAAGGCAGCCTACGTGCCCCTGAACGATATCGAATGCTTTACCAAGACCATCATCGATGTGCCCGAATCCATTCAGAACCTGGGTCGGAAGGTATCCAAGGGTAAGTGGGTGCGCTACGGTTTGAATCCGGCGCTAACAGATATGCCAGATACCTTGAAGTTGGCCCAAGATCAGTTCCTGCCCTTGTGTGGATCTTGGGACTATGAAGACTGGGATGAATACGACTACAGCAAGATCAAGAGCCTCAAGTTCCGCGAACTGGCGGAAGCCCGCATGAAGGAGGGTCAGAATGCGGTTAGCAAAGAATGCCTGAAGTGTCCAAACTTCTTGAAACACGTACGTGTTCGTGGCTGGCTGTGTCCTCAACCCAAGCTAACCATCGTAGTTTGCTCAAGAGCATGATCAGTGGCTTATCAAAGAGAACATCCTTGCCCTCCGCCAGCTCATGTCAGATCAGAATTTACAGCTACTCCCTGACTATGAACAGCGCATACACGTACTCAAGGATCTCGGCTTTATTGATGAAGGTTCTCGCGTGGAGCTGAAGGGCAAGGTAGCTTGCGAGGTATGCCTGTCTCTCTCAACCAGGCCTATCCGTTCACTGACAGCTTTCAGATCCACTCGGCCGACGAGCTGGTCCTTACCGAACTCGTTTTGGAGAACGTCCTCGCCGAGTACGAACCGGAAGAAATTGTCGCACTACTCTCGGCCTTTGTCTTCCAAGAGAAGACCGACGTAGAGCCTACGCTAACAGCAAATCTGGAACGCGGTGTCGCCAAGATCGTTGAGATCTCTGAGAAGGTCAACAAGATCCAAACTCTGCATCAGGTCATCCTCTCCGCAGATGACTCGAACGACTTTGTCAGCAAACCCCGCTTCGGCATGGTCGAAGTCGTGTATGAGTGGGCGAGGGGTATGTCATTCAATCGCATAACGGACCTGACAGATGTCATGGAAGGCACTATTGTCCGCGTCATCACCCGGCTAGACGAGACGTGCCGGGAGGTCAAGAACGCGGCTCGGATTATCGGCGACCCGACTTTGTTCCAAAAAATGGGGACGTGTCAGGAACTCATCAAACGGTATGTGCTCCTCCCATTTAGTTTCTCCTCATGTCCCGTATCCGCGCCGGCGGGTTGAGCCCTGGGTGTTTGGAACGCGTTGGCCCGTTGTTTGGGTCTGTTATGTGCTGGGGTGCATTATGTGTGTGAAATGGGTAAACTGACAAGTGTTTGAAACAGGGACATTTGCAACTGTGCAAGCTTGTACCTGTAAATGGGGCACAAGTATTGTTCCAGAACCGCGACACAGGCGTATCCTGGTCTTTGGGTGTTCCAGGTGGGGTTATGTGTTTCAGGTCCTAGTTTAGTTCTCTGACGGGACGGATGTGGGGCCTTGTAGACATTTTTTTTGTCCCGTTTGTTGTGATGATGCGCGAGTCACGCCATCTGGACATTGGGATCGACCGGCTTTCGCTTATCGGTTTCACATTCCGTCTTTTAGTCGGATCCGACGTTGGGCGTGGCATAAGCATTAGGAAATTGGGCACCTGCATTATCGTTATCGCATCCGGATGCATGTGGGGTAAGCAATCGTGGAATGTGTTACCGTATGTAGCGGTCTTATTGTCGTAGAGCAGTGTCCTATTTGATGACTACATGTGTGTGTAGGTTCCCTTGGAAGCAATTAACAGACGGTGACTGCGAGTGTCAAAGCTGTCTTGTCTTTCAGTATTACTTGTCCTTATTTACCACGCATACCATTAGTATTTCTCCAGAATCATCCCGATCATACTCTTTGTGACTGCTGTTCTTCAAAGCTATTGAATTATCTTAAGAGAAGAGTGTTAAACGATACAGATTATTAGACTAATTAGTTATTATCGCTGTTCTCAACAGTATCCGTATCATCGTCATCCCCATCGTCGTCATCCCCATCATCGTCATCCCAATCATCGTCATCCCAATCATCGTCATCCCAATCATCGTTCTCATCATCGTCCTCATCATCAGTATAGTAGTACCCTGTTCTCTTACTTTTTCTCTTGATAATTCCACCAATATTAACCTTCCATCTGTCCTCGTATGCCTCGAGAAGCAAACTAGCATGTCCTTCATCGACGGCATCTGCGATATCATTTCCATGAGGTCTAAGTGCCTCACACCATTCATCACAACAACTGCTAAGCTGAGCCTCTACAAAAGCCCCAGTGCGTGATACGTTGCACGCGATCAAGGCACTAAGGAAGTCTGCATCCGTCCGGAAATGGGCATTCGGGTTTGTTTGAACCGTTCGACCAAGTCGAAGAAACATGAAATACGTTATAGCATTTCGCCCTCCGGTATATGTTTTCTCGTTATCCGCTCCAGCAGTAAACAACAGCGAGAGTAGTTGTTGCGGTGGAACGTACTCCCAAATCCGGTTGTGCATCGTATTATCGCCATTGAGCCATTCAGCCGACAATCCATTTAGCAGATCAGGTCTTTCCTTTTGTAGCGTCTCAATGCAGGTGACGAACAGTGGCCATGCTTTACCCCAGTCTCTTCGAGCATATGCCTGAATAGATAGTGTGAGGGCAACATTGGCAAACGTGGTAGCAGAAAATCCTACTTCTTCACTGATGTGTTCTATCAGTTCTCGCATTTTTGGATTGTGTGTGACTTGGTGTTCTGAAAAGAGCAGAAAATTGTTCAAGAAAATTTTCGACTTGTTGGGGTCAAGAGCATGGATGATTTGGCTCGTACGAATGCCATGAGTATAGAGATAGACAAGTGCATCGACCCGGACCTCCCTTATAGCAGTCTAGCATCCAAATTGTTAGCATAATGCCCCGAATTCGCTGCTCGCTACGGGGAGAATGACGGAGTTACATACGTTGAAATAGTAGTTGGAGCCTTGTTCGTCCACATGGAAAGGTGAGATCGTCCCATTACGATAAGCAAAGTCAATCTCGGCAATGGTTCCACGCCTAAAAAGTTGCCAATATACATCGTACACACCTTCAACCCTGTTGAACACGCTGAGTTGTGTTTGCACCTTTGGCTGAGATGTCCCATCTGAAACGCGGCGGAATCGTGCGTTTACAGCAAATGTCGAGCGATTTTGAGTGATCATACAGGACAGACCAACTTCCGTCCCGGTCTGATCATGGCCCCCAGCCGATTGTGCAGGTGGTAAAGAGATATAGACATCTCCAGAAGGTGTGTTCGTTGACCACATCTGATTCGATGAAGTTACGTGTGAGCGCGGCATGACAGCCGTCCGATTGGCGTGGAGGCTTTCCTCCTGATGGCCTGAGTAAGGTCTTTGGAGTTGCTGTTCGACACTCATCTTCGAGCTACTGCTATTTGATTCTAATGGATAACACCATTCATCAATTGATGTCGCTGTTGATTCTGGAAAGCGAGTCGCGCTTTCTTGCGCTGCTGAAGCAATAAGTCGCCGAAACTCCATCTGAAGCCAGTGCACATGGTCCACTGAAATTTCTTGACCGTGGTCAACGATTAGACTTTCAAGTGCAACGTCCAAGTCACTCTGGAGGGGCAATAGATACGCCATAATCATATCGCGATGCTCTCCAAAGAAGAGAATGTTACGATGATACTGGATAGGCTGCGCAGCACGAATTCCGAGTGATTTTCTTAGTTGCATGATCTCGGACGTAAGTATAGAAATTGACTCCTTGGTATCTTCGTGTTGGCGTGTAGCAGTCTGAGTGGAGAGTGCTACTCTCTTGTCAACAGTCAAATTATGGCGGGAATTTTGCTTAGCTAGACGTCTCAACTCCTTTTGGCGAGCGATGACTTCGAGGCTTGCGGAAGATAGCCTAGACAAGAGTTTCCGATTAGCGTCCGCGTTTTGCTTGCTCTGCGAGCTATGTTGAGCTTTGAGCGTGGACACGATCTTTCGCTCCTGGTTGGTATGCATTGCGAGAATGCTTTGATGATGTGCATCGAGCTTTTGCTTGATCTCCTGAGTCTGAGTGTCCACTTTGGTGCATAAAGTCGTTGAGAGGCTGGTTATACTTTGAACAGTCTCCACTTGTCCACGTGCAGACAGTTCACTGTGGCAATCAGAGTCAGCACAGTCCATGCCCTGTAGTAGTGGATTCGCAACGCGTGTTCCAGACATACTTGCATGCCAGTGTCAAAGCACCAGAAAGAAGTAGCTTGTTCGATTCCAGGTTTCTGATCGCTTTGTCTACTTTGGCATCGTTGAGAACGTATTTGACTCGACTCCATGTCTTGCTTCCCCTGAACTTTGCGGTCGTACCCTTGAGACTTTGCAGCTCACGATTGAGAGCTTTGATAGCGGATTCCAGAGACAGTACAGTTTCAGCCTTAGGTAGTGAAGAGTGACCAGTGTCAAGACTTTTGAGACATGCCTTAGCAGCCTGAGATAATTGTACTGTGTCGTTGATGCTGTTCAATAGCTTTTCAATGTTACTTGGTGCGTCTTTCACCTCAGAAAGGAAGGCAAAGATTTCGCGACCAGTTCGTAACACGACGTCGACGACTCCAACAACGGCAAACGCACCAGCCGCTGTCTCGAACGCCCCGGACATGGTGCAATTTGTGGACACCACGTAACACACTTGAACCGCATGCAAGCAGAGAAAGAATTCAGAGGTAGCAGGAATTTATCAAAAGACAAGATCAAATTTCCAGTCGATAAAGGAGAGCTTTTGGTTTGGGAAGCACAGCCTTACTGCACTGCCCCGCTACTACACTGCCCCACTACTACACTGCCTCGCTACTACAAAATCACCGCCACCACCACTACTCCTACTACTACTGCTAGTATACTACTCTACTACTGCGTTACTCTATTGAAGCTCGAGAGTATAACAAGTAACTCCAGGCTTCTATCGTAGAAAGCTTCGGTTCATTCAGCCTTGTCGCAGCCTTGCAAGGCCACGATGCTGCAACTTATCGCTGCATTGCTCAGCCTTACACGCCACGTTCAGACTCATGAAGGCGCTCTCGAATACACGATTCGGCTGAATGTTCGCTTCTTTGGACTGAATCTAAGTGTGGACGATATTTTACAGATGTCGGAGCTAAAACCTACAGTAACGAGAAGCATGGACAGTAACGCGGACGATATTACTGCTGTTGTGGATTATGGCAACCCAAAGGCATGATGCCTCGTTGTTCTCTGGAGAGACAAATCGGCAAGAACGTGGGCAGCGTGTAGCCATGCCTTCGTCGTCTTCCTACCGCGGAAGTCTAAGAAACCACGGTACTATAACCGGGGAGCTCAATGCTATTTTAAATTTATGCACCGAACATCTCAGCGTATCTGCTGCAAGCAAGTTATTGTGTGCCATCATCTCCATCGCTATCGTTGTACTACTAGTAAGCGGACTCGACGCCTTCAAACCAGGGCTGGTCTAATGCCTGGCAAGCTGTGAGTCTCCGTGAGGGGTCCAGATTGTTCAATCCTTGGATCAAGTCTTTGAATACCAAGTCGATACCTGCCCACTCTGAGAACGGCACATATGGGATATAATCTGCTGCTCGCTCTTCCCAAAGCATTGCAAGAATCTCACAGTTCGCTTCCTCATCACCAACATGCTTCATGAGCCCATTCAACCCGTCCTTGTCTACAAAATATGAGATCTGGCGCTGCAGGCGAATGAATGCAGGTAGTGCGCCTTTCGATACGTGTAGTCTGAAATCATCATCACGTCCTAGTATAACGCACCCGAGAACAGCGTAGATGCACTTGGTATATTAGTAATGAAGAAAATTTTCCTCAGATCAAAGCACTTACGACCAGTCCGAATGAGTATAAATCAGAAGGTTTGTTGAGCTCTCCCTTGAAGTGACCTTCAGGGCAGCGCCAGTCATCATTCCCAGCTAGCATACCCTTAATACACCTAGGCTTCGGGAGATGGGCTGCATTCTCAAGATCAGAGATCTGTACCTGTTCGACCACAACGTCTTGGTCAACATTACGGTGATTAACCAGAATGTTGTCAGGTTTGACATCTAAAGAAGATTAGTCGTTTTTATTGACTGTATGAAGAGCCGAATCATTGGACTCACCTGGATGAACAATGTCGCGGTCGTACATATCTGCGATGCCCCGCAAAGTAGCTTTAAGAATCTCCTTCCGAGCTCGCATTGGGATCTGACGCCGAACCAGACTTGAAAAGTCATCATCCAGGTATTCATACACGAATATGCACTGATCTGGGATGGTGTCCACTGGTAGTCGTATGCGGAGTGTTTGAGCAAGTTTTGGTCGGATATTCTCGTTAAATGCTGAGAATATGTTCGGAGGTATGTCTTTCAATACAAATTCATCACTTGCAGATCTGCAGGATTGTTAGTTGTGTCTGGAGGCATACAATATGGGAGGTTGGCCGAACGACGCTAACCAAACACGACCCAGGTGCGGTCTTTCCTGGATCAACCTCTTGAAGGAATAATAACGTCCGGTTGAGCCAAAGAGGTTGAGCGATCTCGGTGCCGCCATTCTGATGCTCAACCGGAACTTGCTTTTCTTAACGCTGGTGACTGAGGGGATGATCGTTGAAAAGTACCTAGTGGCTTGGCGGAATCCAACAACACGTATAGAAAACAACAGATGTACAAAACCAACGCATACGACCATAGGACACTGGGAGTTAGATCACTCGTCCGAGTCGCCATCTGCCACGGTACTGTTTGTGGAAGTATTACTCTTGTTTACCGTGGACAGTTTCCTGTCCTTCCCACGCTAAGCCATAATTCATCTAGTGCGACATCGCCAATAACAGGCCTCTAACACATAGCCTCCTCCACATCGTCGCTGTTCCGTGTGTCTTGCCACTTTTTAGTCCCTCTTCCGTGATGTACACACGTCCAAACCTACACATACCTAAACTATACACATCCACGCTTACACAACAAGTTGCAATAGACAGAAGAATATAATAAACAATAATAACTTATAACAGCTCGCACAAGAGCCTAAGGACTAGCAAGTGATATTAGAGAAAATCAAGTCTCCCTTGATTCTAGTAAGCTTTATACAGTATAAATATTTAATAAGCCTTAGATGAAGGGTGTACTTGCCTCCCTGCTTTTCAAAGAAGGTCTCAATATGGCTCAGAAAATTGCTCCCATCGTTTGTTATGGCTTTGCTGTTGTTGAGTTGCTCTGTTAGCACGGCACAGGGCCGGGACTAGGCCCTTGATGATGCAGGGCTGCGGGATACACATGTCGCGTTGTGGTTCGTGGGTTGTAGTGTGAATGAATAACGACATGAGCGCATGGCTCTAGACCATGCACCTCCGCTCTTCTCATAGCCAAAGTGCGGCTCATTAATAGGATTCACCTCAACAACGACGTACCACGGTCTAAAGGGGAGTCATATCTCGAACCACAGTAAAGTCGGCTCTTCCGGTCATCTAATCCAGCATTGAGAATACAAACACGGGATCAATTCGCTATGACAAGTGTATGCAAGCTAGCAAGGTCCATGCACCCACTGCACCTGACAAATTTGGAGATTACCCATTCAAGCAACCAGCGAGGACCTGACCCAACTTCTAACCATGGCCGCAACACCTAAATATAGCTCGTCAGTCATCTCATGGACGAGCGTACCAAGGCTCTCACGCGGCCCCCCTCAACCCCTCAATGGTACCGCAACTCTGGGACTGCATAGCCCAGTAACCACTCACTTCAACCATGGTACTAGCAGTGATGACCACCAAACCATTGTCCCAACAATCCAAAGATTGAATCGCCCTGCAGTTTTTCTTTGTCAGCCATAAAGACTGAGCAGAGCGCGGTGGAAAGACTAGAAAAGACCCGACCCCCTTCAGTGCCTCTCTATATGCACATATATCTTCATAAATGGTATCCCTCTTGTCGAGGGACTCCTGTCGGAAGGATGACAATTTTCTTCACTGAGGTTGAGCAGGGGGTCCCTACCTTGCCTCAGAACATCCCTTACACCAGGCATACCGCAATCCTGATAGTCGAACCACAGTCATTGTCACCGTTCTGGAGACAGGCCGTAGGTTGAGTATTTGAGAACGCTGTCTACCCTTGTGTATGGGATGTTTCGAGGAAGGAAGGAGTATGGATCGAGACAAGGACCGGTGATGACATGATGCCTACATTTCTGGGTTAGATTTCATCTTTCGCTACGGAAGAGCGAGTCATACCTGGAAGTATTCGGCACTAGCTGAGGTCCACAGTGGTCGTTGAGTCCATGGCCGATGAGAAAGTGTGGTGGAAGTTGGGCGCGCAGTGACAGAAGTGGACGAGAATAATGAGGATAGCGATGATTAAGAAGGCAATCTGCAGTAAAGATCAGATGGCTTCAGGCACCGATGTGAGCAAGTCGTGCAGTAGAAGAGTGTGTAGTAGAAGAGCGTTAGAAAGATTTGGCGGGAGCGCGAGCTACTTGCAAATAAAGGGGGGGCTGCCTTCCTTTTCTATCCTAATCTCATAACAACGGAAGAGCGTACGAGACAAATTATGAAGCAGGAGGCGAGGTGATTAACGCGGGAGGAAGAAAGCGTTATCGTGTAGCAGCAGCCACAGAGACTAAGCAGGTGCAGAGTTCCGTGAACCAGAAAAAATGACAACTTTGATGCTTTATTACAACATGAAAAGACCGTTACAGAGATAGCTACGGATCTAACATTTCGTAGTATGCTAAGCAATTCTAGAATGCTCACACGTTACACTCTCAAGGTCGGCAACACTCAAATTTTCGTCTGCTTCTTGTTCGATAATCAACCCGTTTTGCAATAGATTGTTCTCATCTGCTATACCGTGACACGCAAAGTGAGCAACTGTGCAGGATGTTAATGCATACAACACTCGCTTCTTTGTTGGCTGCTCGAGGCAGACAGTGGATGCCCAAAACATGGCATGTGTCACAATTGCCTCCACTTCTTAAGCGAAAGCCAAAGGCGTATGTCGAGGGCTTGTTGGCATGGACACCACAACAACATTTGCTTTCTCATCATGTATCGCAAATTGAGGTTTTCGACAAAGCGAGTCTAGCGCCATAAGACTTGGAGAACACGAAGAGACAACATGACTGATAGTGTTATCAGTCAGTTGACCCGGGAGTGTGTGGTCCTGCAGCGTGGAGCGGCAGCAATGATGCAATGCCACTGACAACCCACCTTACGCGAGGTAATGGTTTGGGCCTGGGGTCGTGCCTTAGGAGTCTTAATGCTTGCAAGGCTGGCTGGATTGCGTGATTCCAGAGGTTCAGCAGCGCTGAATGCAACTTAGGACTATGGTTCTTGATCTTGTCGACGTCAGCGTCAGCGTCATCCTCTTTATTCAGGCATAGAGAGGCATCTCTGCGGCGCCTGTTACTATTGAAGACCAAAATCTTTACATTTTTCACAACGTTTCGTCCTTGTTTATAGAGTAGCGGATGTGAAAACCAGTACATACGACCATAGGACACTGAAAATTAGGCTTCCCGTCCGCTCAGCCATATACAAGCAGTGTACCGGCGGATTAGTAGTCAGGTGGGTGACCACTAGCGAATCCCCGCTCTTGTATGTATTTTTATTTTTGCACATTTCATCAGCACCAG